TGCAAGAGTAGATGATACTTTTATAGACCAGTAAAAAAAAATACGCAATCTGCTGGCTGTTGTGGATCAGGACCACTTTTTCAGGCATGTACTGGTGTGAACATAAAGTCCAAAAGTTTATGGCAAGATAGATTTTGCCAGGAAAATTACTCTTAGATGTAAAGTCGAAATGTTCTTGGCAAGATTGATTTCATGAGGCACATCCTTCTTAAATGTAAGTCAGGAATGATGCAGGCTGCAGATTGGATATCATGCTCCACTTACCTTGAAAGCCCTATTAGAGTCGCTATAACTCAGTTCCAACTGACAGCACAGAACACACGCAATAAGATTTTCAAGATATTTAAAGAGTGGTATTTACCAGTTCCATATCCCCAGTCAGTTTCCATGGTTGAGCAGGGATTAAATTCAAGGTTGAGTAATACTATGAGCAACAAGGATCTCGGAATTGTAGATCAGAAGATGAACATGAGCCAGCAGTGCAATGTGGCTACAAAAAAAGGCCAATTCTATTTAGGCTGCATTAATAGATGTATTTTAGGCTGCATTAATAGAAGTATGGGACGTGGTGGCGCTGCGGGCTAAACCGCAGAAGCCTGTGCTGCAGGGTCAGAAGACCAGCAGTCGCAAGATCGACTGCCCGTCGCTTGTCCCAGCTCCCACCAACCTAGCGGTTTGAAAGCATGCAAATGCAAGTAGATTAACAGGGACCACCTCGGTGGGAAGGTAACAGTGTTCCATGTCTAAGTCGCACTGGCCATGTGACCATGGAAGATTGTCTTTGGACAAAACACTGGCTCTATGGCTTGGAAACAGGGATGAGCAGCGGCCCCTAGAGTCGAACACGACTGGACAAAAATTGTCAAGGGGAACCTTTACCTTTACCTAATAGAAGTACAGTCTTCAAATCTTATGAAATACTAGTCCCCCTCTATTCAGCACTAGTTAGGCCTCATCTAGAGCACTGGTTCTTAACCTTGGGTTACTCAGGAGTTTTGGACTGCAACTCCCAGAAGCCTTCACCACCAGCTGTCCTGACTGGGGTTTCTGGGAGTTGCAGTTCAAAAGCATCCGAGTAGCAAAGGTTAAGAACCACTGATCTAGAGGACTGCATCCAGTTCTGGCTACTGCACTTGAAGAAGGATGCCAACAAATTGGAACAAACTAGAAGAAGGACAATGAGGATGATCAGCAGACTGGAAACCAAGCCCTGTGAGGACAGACTGAAAGAAGTGGGCATGTTCAGCCTTGAGAAAAGAGGGGAGAAATGATTCATTGTTGTTTAGTTGTGTTGTACTCTTCGTGACCCCATGGACCTGAGCACGCCAGGCCCTCCTGTTTTCCACTGCCTCCCGGAGTTGGGTCAAATTCATGTTGGTTGCTTCGATGACACTGTCCAACCATCTCATCCTCTATCGTCCCCTTCTCCTATTGCCCTCACACTTTCCCAGCATCAGGATCTTTTCCAGGGAAACTTCTCACGAGATAGCCAAAGTATTGGAGCCTCAGCTTCAGGATCTGTCCTTCCAGTGAGCAGTCAGGGTTGATTTCCTTCAGAATGGATAGGTTTGTTTTCTTTGCAGTCCAGGCTGAACACTCAGATGTCAAGGTTTCCCATCTATAATAACGGAGTAACAGATTGGTATATCAGATTTGAATGGATTGGTGGATATAGAATAGTGATGCATATGAAAGTACAGCCACATATAGTGGCATTAGGCAAAGTGAGGTAACTGCTGTAGTCAGCAAATGATCATATAGTGGGAACAACTATTCCCTTCTGTTAAGAGGGCGGCTGTGTGGAACAGAAACCTCCTCCAAACACTAACACAAGCTAGCCCTTTCTCTTAGATAAAGTAGAGGAGGATGTTCTCTCACCATGGACAGACACATCAAACTGTTGATCAGGTCAGCCTCTTTAGGTGTACTCAGTCTTGGTCTATCCTCTGGATACACAGAGAGATGAATAATTTAATCTATGCCTCAAGCTGCAAAATTTGTTGGGTTGAGCATGCAGTCATATTGCAAGTCAATATGCTTGCTGGGAATATGTCACCAGGTCATGGAAATCACTGTCCACAATCAGAGCAGAGGAAACATTAGCTTAGTGCTATATTTTTTTATTCCTTGTTCTACACAAAAATAGGAATAAATGTTTAAGGCTCCATATAAGCCTGGGGAGATATGAGTATGAGCTTTTAGGTATTATTGGACTACTTATCCCAACATTCTTCACCTTTAACTATGGTGGCTAGGGCTGATGGGAGTTGCAGGTGGCCACTTCTGGAGGACAGCACTTTTCTTAGAAGTTGTGCTTCAGACCTACCTTCTAATCATATGGAGATAAATTGTGCAATGTCAGTACTGTCAGGGTGAAAATTTGAGTCTGTTTAAAAAGGGGATCTCTGCTTCAATGTGCTGTGCTCTGAAAATGTGTTTGAGAAAGTCTGTAACAAACAGTATGAGCTAGAGTGGAACATGCTGTCTTTCTTTTTTTAGCATGTCAGGCAAAAACAAAACAAAAATAAAGAAGACAAAAACATCATGGCACATTAAAGACTAACTGCTATATTTTAATGTGAGCTTTTATGGACAAGTCCACTTCTTCAGACATGAGAGTGGGACTGCCTGGCAAATTTTCCACTAATACTGAAATAGTTTCCTTGATGATGAACGTGGGGAAAAGCAAGAAAGGGTGATTCAAGGAAGGCATGATTATAGCTACCGGATGTACAATTCATAGGCAATTCTTACCAGTTTTACTATTTAAAGGACAAAATTCAAGGGAGAATGAGAACTCATGCACACCCACAATCTTGACAGGAACACACATTGAGTAAGAATATTTCAACATTTGTGGTATAAAATGAACTCCTGACACAAGAATGATGAAATAATTAGATGGTCTGAAAAATACACCAAAAACTGGGAGTAGCAGCAGCTGTCATGAAGGGACTTGGGACCTGGGGTCTAGGCTAGGCAAAGCTGCGGAGAGAGGAACTGAGGAGAGGAGAGGAACTCCTTTCCCGCAGCCCCCAAGGCTCCTTTCTCTCAAGAACTCTGGGTACTTCTGCCACCACCTCCCTCAGACAAAAATAACTCAGGTAGTTTGGACCAAAAGCGGTAAGATACTTGGACGCAGGTATAATCTGCCTTCCACATCACATGGTACAGTTCAAAAAGGGAATTCATTTTTTATTTGAAACAAAGCCGAAAGACTGTCCAAACTGAAAAGGCATTGCTTAAGAAACTAAACAGTAAGGATGATACAGCTTGCTTCCCCATTTCTTAGACAAGGTACAGCTTGGTAAAAGCAATCTACTAAACATCCTTCCCTAACATAACTAACTAAGCTTTCTAGCTGCCATGGCTTGGCTAAGCCAGGTGGGTCTACTTACACGTATGTGGTCTCTGCAAGCTACATTCCTCCTGATTACCTGGAGAGTCCAAAGAGACTAAAACCCATTTGTTCCCTGGCTGCAGTCTATAAGTACCTTTTTGGGTCCTTTCATGGTTCCTGGGAACCCTTTGGCCAAGCTCCATTTCAAAGAGGGTTTTTGCTTTAGGCAATTAGCTGAGCTTCTTCCCCAAAAGGAGCTGGGTCTATCTGCATATCAAGGGCCAGACATGTTGCCCTGACTTCCTTGCAGTAAAATGTGGTTTACAGTCCATCTTCAAAGAGGGCTTTGAAATGTGCATTTGCCACTGAAGTTTATAACATGGAGTTTCACATCTCATAGAGACAATGGAGGTGTTCATAATCTCAACTGCATTGAAATGCAAGATGTGAATAGGTGCTCCAGCAATACATTTCAGGTTCAGCTAAAATCTACTGCTGGAGCATTTGTTAGGGCTGAGCTAAGATGACAGACAAGACAGCCAGACATGTGTGCTTTTACTATTTTAGGCTACATAACTCGTTGCAGTGCCTTGTACCTTGTACTGAAACACACCACAAGAACTGCCATTCTTCAAGTAGACAAAACAGTGCCTTCCACACATGAGAGAAGCATCAAAATGTCTGATAAATTCTGTATCTTGCAAAAATATAGAAATTGGTGTTGGTAGTGGAAAAGAGCATCCTGCGAAAAGGTGTAGGTAGCTGACTGAAACACTGTCTGAAATCCTGTTGCTTAGCCTAGGCAATATCACTAGAGTAGGTCCATTGGGTCAGTGGTGAGTCAACTCTTTCATACGTTCCATTGATTCAAATGGGCTTACTCCAGTGCAATGTACTATGCTAAGCAACAAGATTTCGGCCAATGGAAAACAGCACTCTATATAGTTGCAGGTCATGCTGTGGTAAGCCCACTTGTGTGGTCTTTCTCTGAGCCACAGATCTCCCCTTGCTTTTGTCTACTTATGTACCAAACAAGCACATAGCCAAGTCCTAGCAGAGACTGAAACACTTGCCTGGACTGTCCTTTATCTCTAATGACACATTCACCCTGTTGGCCACAAAGCCCAAACAAATCAAACCGAAACCAAACCAAACTAAACCAAACTGAATGAATGAACGAACAAACAAACAAACAAACAAACAAGCAAACAAACAAACAAGCAAACATTGAACTGTAGAGAGTCTTGGGGGCACCTTACAGACAGGCAGCACAAATCCTACATATATCTGCTTAAAAGTAATCTCCACTGAGTTCAAGTGAACTTTCTCCCAGGTAGCTGTTGAAATTTTCATAAGCCGTAGAACACATATATCATACAAAACCTGATGATCCTTAGATGCCAGCAATCTCTTTCATGTTTCTATTGCAACAGACTGCCACAGCTTTCCTTCTAAAATTAGTGTTCTTGTTTTATTTGAAATGTGGTCTGCTGCAAGCGTGTTGTTCCATGTGCAATCACCACCTCTATATTAAGTTCCACAAGGAAGCAGCTTTCTTCTTTAATTACTCATTTCCTTATAAGGACTATTTCTTTCCACATGAAATGAGTGTTGGAATTGCCAATCATGGGAGACAAGGCGTGTGACTGATGTGTGTCAAGACCAGAAAGGCACCAAGTCTCACCATCTAGGGGGAAAAGAAGCAGAGGTATAGATCGCTTGCCACAGCCGAAAGGCTTTAAATAGTCATCCACCTCTGCCATGGCCAGCAATGTCTCTTTTGCATTAACTGTGGCAACCCCAGAGCCATTCCTTAGAAGGAACCATATCTTGAAGCCAACAGCTACTGACACCACCAGCTTCTTTCATCAGTATCACTGCATTCTGTTTATTAAAGGTAAGTGGAAAGGTTCAGAAGATAAATGATTGGGGGTCCCTTTGATGATGATGATTTGCTGAAGTGACAAGTCGAGTTACCTCAGCCTTTAGAAGCTTAATCTGAAGTTCATAAATGGTGTGCTTTAACTCCCTGCTGAGACAGGTTCACAATATTTCTGGACAAACTGCACATTCCAGATAGTTCATCAATGGAAGCTGAAATCCATTAACACTCCAGAGACATAACTGAGGCAGATCTTCATGACTGAGAATACACACAAATTCACTTGCAAAGTTCCAGAAGTCTCAAATGAAACAAAATTATATGCAGACCACAAGTTATGTCCAGCACTTGTTGCATTCCATCTTCTAATGACAGGTCATCTATAATGTACAGTTTCTCTCCTGTTAAACTAGTTAGTTGTGCAGTTGCCATACAGACTCTAGTCCTCTTTCTCCAGTGTCACAATTTGAGTTGAAAGAATGTTAGGAAGATTCTGCTGATTTCAGAAATGTAACTGGGATGTAAAGATGAGCCTTTTGATTGGGCAATACCCAGGCTGGTGCTTTGTCATCAAGTATGTGAAACTAGTACATTCTGTGGTCAAAAAGCCACCAGCTTTCATATGACAGTTTGACTGACAAATGTACAGCTCATGTCTCAGAAGAGACACTTCAGCCACGTGAATCTGGACAGATGGCATGGAAGAGCAGTCAACTGTTCAATGGTTCTAAGCTGTGTGATTTCTCTGATGGTAGATGAAATATATTACAGTGGTCATCATGGAATCATCCATGCCTCCTGAACTGATGTGCTTGTACCTTACATAACAGTGAGAAGTTCAATTCATGTAGCAATCTTGTAATTTCCTTAGTAAGCACGGGCCCCTTCCAGAGCCACCTCTGCAGAAAGCTGCTCTTAGACTTTTAGGGGTGGGTGGATTCGGTGCTGACAATCTGTTACTCACAAACCATCAAATATGTTCAAAGCTTCTTTTCAATAAATGGAGGAGCTTTTCAAAATATTTTAAAATCAAGATTCTTTTAACATTACACCAGCCTCTAGTATCCCAATGGCCTTCTTAGCTCTTTTGCTAAAGCACAGAAGAAAGAGCCAGAAGTCCTGCAGGGGGGAATCATGTCTTTTGATTAAAGCACTGCTACTGGAGGAAAAGGTTATTTAACCTTCCCAAATGAATTTTTCCTGATCAAATTCTTCCTTCCAGAGGCTGCTATTAGCCTTACACAGAGAGAGAAACAAAGGTGGGGTGGGGGAGTAGGAGGGAGAATAAATAGAAACCCCCACGCGGGCACCTTGAGTAGCTCCAAACAATGTTTTGAACACTCCATGGCCTTGTCTCCTGTACTGAACTTTACAGGGGCTTCATAAAACATTCTCTTCCACTTGTAAGGTTCCCCCTTTCCTCACTGCTTCTTTCACATCCTCTTCCCCAGTTTTTCATTTGTTTTTTCTTAGTGGAGAAATTCCACCAAGGAAAAAAAATACAGTACAGAAGAGCTACACAATATTCAATGGCTAACATGTTAAGTACTATATCTAGAGAGATCCCTAAAAACATCTTTTGACTAGTAATAAGACCAAAAGTTTGGAAGGTCGGATTTAAATCAGGAGAACTGTATAGGAAAAAAAGAGACTGAAACACCCCTGCCACCAAAGCTCAAGTCAAACATGTAGCTCTTCACACCAACACCCACACTCTTATGCAAATTAAGAGATCCTGTCTTCATAAACTTTTGAGATAGCATCCAGAGGTAAAGAATGTGAAATAAAGCCGATCCCCTCAAGGAATGTGTATGTGAAAGCCACAGCTTTCTGATGCATCACCTGAAGGACATCTGGATGTTTTGTGATACAATTGAATCTTGGCCATCTGATCACAACTGTAGGGTGTGTCCATGTACATGACAGTTTTACAACAGCATCCAGCATGGCCAACGGTGAAGGTGACAGAAGTTGCAAACCAACACATTCTAGAGGAGTCCAGGTGGGGCACAATTGACTTTGACCTATAGAGAATGGCTGATGGTCGGATTCCAAAGGATCTCCTATATGGAGAATTAGTGCAGGGAAATCGCCCCAGAGGGAGACCACAGCTGCGATACAAGGATATCTGCAAGCGGGATCTGAAGGCCTTAGGAATAGACCTCAACAGATGGGAAACTCTGACATCTGATCGTTCAGCCTGGAGGCAGGCGGTACATCACGGCCTCTCCCAATTTGAAGAGACCATTGTCCAGCAGGCCGAGGTAAAGAGGAAGTCACAAAGGAAGCAAAACCAGGGAGCTGGACAGGGGACAGATTGGATTTGTCTTCAGTGTGGAAGAGATTGTAACTCTCGGATTGGCCTCCTCAGCCACACTAGACGCTGTTCCAAGTCCTCCATACAGAGCACGCTACCATAGTCTTTCGAGACTGAAGGATGCCTACAATAGATGCTAGTATGGTATGGCTTAGTTTAACTAAGAGAATCCTCAGGGTAGTGCAGTGTATAGAGTGAAAACTGAGGTTAAATTCCCTGTTCAGCCACAAAAACTCATTGGGGAAGTAGAGCTAGTAAAACAACTCCCTAAATAGCTCTTTTACCTGGAAAACCCTATTAGGGTCACTATAAGTTGGTTCTGATATGACAGCACATAACATATACAGTCTGACTAAATCAAAGTTTTTCTCCTGAACTTACGTAGGCTGACTAATCAGAAAAATATTGGATACCAGCGTTGCAGTTAGAAACTGATTCCATTTAAAAGTTAAAGCAAGCTTGTCTTCCCATAAAAGTTTCAGCAGCAATATGCATGGCATTCAGTTGCTAATTGCTTGTGATAACAAAGCTTCTGGCTTTGGAGAATGATTTTTAAAGGGTTGATGTTTCACCTCCTCTTGAATGCATAACTATCATTTTGTCTGTGTCTGCCCTTAGTCAAAGGTTAATAGAGAATGCCACCGTCATTTCTTCTTCTCCTCTTTCCTTTTCTTTCCTTTACCTCTGCAGGGTGCTTGAAATGTTCTTGGCCTTCACAAGAATGAGTGCAATTTTGGAAGGGAAATGGGGCTCCATAAATGAAGGAAAAACTGATTAGATCTCCAAATTGTCTCAGTGGTGGGGAGCACATTATGTATCATTGTATTGTTTATGTGATTTTGTGTTTTTAAAGCTTTCTTTTTCTTACGTTTTCTTTGTTGTTTGCATTTTTAGTATCATTTTTTTAAAAGGACATGTGCACGACAACCTGTGCTCGGCTCCTGGGGCCATGCCTCCTTACCTTGGGCCTGCTTTCCATCTTTGCCAACCTCCTCCTCCTCTTTCCCAGCTGGGAAAGCCATTACTTAATCTTGCGCCAGATTACGGAGAAGGCAATGCTCCTGCCAGGACTGTGGGGTGGAGGCCTTTTAGTAAGTGGTTATTTCTCCAATATATCTTTGCAAAGAATTTGAATGTGAAACAGCCCTAGCCCTTTTGTTGTGTTAATCAGTTAATGAAAAAGTGGTGGATACTGAAGAACTTGAAGCTATTCTTCTCTGTGGCTGCCTATAGTCCTGCTGTGTAGCAAAAAGAGAATTTTGACCAGAAATTCAAAACTTCGCAACTATTAGGGCCCGTCTTTCTCTCTACTGGTTTATTTCTCTTTGTTTCCTGCTTTGATGGTGGTACTGCCAAAGTACATAATAGCTATCTCCTGTTTCTCTTTCTCTTGTGTTCTCCAGACTGAAGGTGAACAAATAATTCCTCCAGAAATAATTCTGATGGTCCTCGTCCCCATCCCAGGTCATGGCTGTTTGCATGCCCTTTTCACTGGAATTACTCCCGCCCACCCCAAGGCCCAGAAATACACAAGTAACAGCATGGACCTGGACAAGGATCTGATCAGAGTGTGTCCAAAAGAGCACCCTGTGTGCTTTATTTGGGCATGGACTGGTCCAGGGAACCAATGTACATCCCTAATGTATACTGTGCTCTCAGATGATGCTAACATATTACGACTAGATTCCTTCTGATGTTTGCATAAGGTTTGTGTAACTTGCTGTGGCTAATTAACTCTTGATTGCATGCCTAGTCACCTGCCTCACTGTGCAATCAAAATGTGCCCCAGTATCTCATCAGAACTATCCATTGCAAGTTACAAAAGCCTTGAGGACATACCAATAGGACTCTGGGATTTTTTGTCTTTGCCCTAGCCCTCCTAAATTCCTAAGGATGCCCTTGCATGTAAATACATCTACTATACACCTACGATTGTGACTAAAAATACAAATCATGCTATGTGCCTCATCCCACCAGAAAGTGTTGCTTTAATAAGAATTATCTCCCTTAAAGCAACCCTTCCCTCTGCCAGAAAATGGCTCCAGCCTGGCTCCCAAAAGTAGAAGTCCTAAAGCTGGACCAAAAAGCTTGGACCCAGATCAAGGTCAAGCTGGAGAACATTTCCAGACAGATCCACAAGTGATCCAAATTGCAGTCTGTTTCCCCATGTGATCACATCCATGATTGCATAAAAATAACATCTAAAGAAGTATCTGAACAAGATGTGAATTTGCTGCCTCAGAAGGGCAGGATTTCCAGAACAGGAGTGGTATCTTTGTGAGCTCTCCACCATTGGAGGCATCCAGAAAGTTAGACAGCCATGTATCAGATATACAGTACTTTAATCTGGATTCCTGCATTGAGCAGGGGGTTAGACATGATGACCTCATCGGCTCCCTCAGACTTCATTATTATCTAAGAACTACAGACCTGGAAGGGACCCTATGGATCATCGAGTCCAGCCCCTGTTAAGGAGGCCCAGTGGGGAATCAAACTGTCAACCTCCACAGCCAGATGATGCCTTAAACCACTGAGCTATCCAGCAGTTCTTCTATCATCTTAAGGACAGAGCGTAAAAATCTGTGATGGTGTTGAACTCATTTTTCTATCAACTTCAACCAGCATGGACAATGCACAGGGATAATTAGGGATGTGGTACATTGAGGTCAGGAGGACTGCAGGCTACCTAGCCACATCCTAAGAAAAGACATGGAGAACTGAACAATGACTGTCACAATTCAATGCTTCCAAATGCAGAATTAGTTGATCATATGAGGAAAGAGTGCTTAATTGGATGACTCTTTGTGTGTGTGTGTGTGTGTGTGTGTGTGTGTGTGTGTGAGAGAGAGAGAGAGAGAGAGAGAGAGAGAGAGAGAGAGATGATGATAAAGGGGCTCTTCATAGGCCTGACTCTGGCTCACTGAAGAAAGCTGTTCATTGTAAATCATTCTCTCACACAGGTTTTCCCTGCAGCAATTCAGATCACAAGCATTGGATGGGGGTGGAGTTGCAGTAGAAGCTCTGGAAATTGTCAGAAGGTAAGGTAGGGGCTGACTCATCCTGCTAATGAGAAGGTTCCCACTTTAAAGGTAGGGAATTTTCAGGAATTTTCCATTCTGGATTATGCGCAGAGGAGGGAAAAAAACTGTTTCCTGAAGTATATCAGGCAGAAGTAATTACTCTGGTTGTTCTGCACGGCAGCCCTTTAGAAGCAAACACTGCTCCTGTTGCTCCACATCCCCAAGATTAAGCAGTATAGTTGAAGAGGTCTCACATAACTCACATAGTTTTTGTGCCTCTTTTGCCTACAGATGTTTCTCACCATTGTGTTATCAGCACTGGCTCTGCTGGGGTCAGCTGCTTGTTTTATTATGTCTGGTGTGGGCTTGGCAGAGGGCCCCTACTGTCTCTATGTTGCCATCCACAATCAGGTGAAGACGGAGCAGTGGGGTTACCCATTCCGTGAGATGGACAATCAGGCCTTGGATGATGGCAGGTAAGGGAATGTTGAGTTCATGATTCAGCTGATGGCAAAACAAAATGGCTCCCACTTGATAGACCAACACATTCTAAGAGCTGAGACTTTTGCACTTAAACAAGGAACTTTGAGAATCTCTTACCAGTGAGTTCAGATCCATAGCAGCAAAGGAGATTTGTAAATGATGGTCATGCTTCTGGGATATACTGTACTTGGTTTTGAAGAGAGAGCAATTATGTGAAACATCTCAGTATTTGTAAATGAGCGTTCTCTTGTACACTCAATTGTATTGAATTGAATTAAACATTTTTAATCTACATTTTCAGCATTTGGGGATGTTTTGGGTTCTCACAGCATATTCCTTGATCATCTCTTTCTCTCCTTTATACACAAACAAATTATCTTTATTTTATTGAAGAAAGATTATTCCCTAAAACAAACAGGGACAGAAAATTCCTCATCCAAGGGGTGGTAAATTCTGTGATAGTCATATCAATGCAGCTTAGTTATAGGAAATCACAAAATTCACAATAGCTGATACAAGCTGGGAGTAATGATACTCAGGAGGAGGAAAGATATTGGAGGGACCAAACTGAGTATTTGTCTTAGGCATCCAGAGCTAAAGTATTTTTCTTCAGAATTAGATGTAATAAACTTCCTGTCCTGCACTCCTCAGTGTTATGCTAAATTTCTTTCATTCACATAGCAAGCACCAAAAATATGATTTTAGTGTGATGAAGGCAGAGGAAGAACTTCCTGGGAGAAATTCCCACAAGGGAGAAGAATGAATTCTGTCAATATATGTACAGCTAGGAAGAAGAAGAAAAGAATTAGCTAAGAATTTCAATGTGGAGCCCACAAGGATTGCTGAGGCCTGCTCAAAGAATGGCAAAATTTCCTCTTGCAGTTCCTGGAGGGCATAAGGGTACTAATTCAATTGTGAATTAGTTCCTTATTCAATTGTGAAACAAGTCCCTTTATAAATATATATATAACCACACCTTTTGGAAACGCTTGCCCTGAATCTCCTTTTCTAATCTCTGTTCCTTGAAACTTTCTAATTCAAAATCTGCTCTTTTAAGGATAAAGAACTACTTGTATGACCCCACACTTTGGAAGTCTGTTTGCATCGAACCTCAGAACATTGTGGCCTGGAATGTCTATTTCTTTTCTGCCCTTCTAATCATCAGTATGGTGGAGATGGTCCTGTCTGTTCTCCAGATCATCAATGGGTTCTTTGGATGTATCTGTGGTTTTTGTGAAAAGAAATAGGTAACATGGACTCAAAAATGTTTTACATCATATTTTCAGTCATTGCTGCCTCTTCATCTTACAGAGGAATGGGTCCCATTTCTCCGTATACACTCCAGCAGGGGAAGATAGCAGCAGGTAGTGATTGCTAAAGCTTGTCTCCTTCTGAACTAGGAGAACAATACCCAGAGGTGGCCCTTCCTGCAGGCATGGCGAGGCAGCTGCATCAGGTAGAAGATTTGAAGTCTTATGAGAGGACAGCAAACCATTAGTTTATTTATTTTTATTGTATTTTTATTGGCAGGCAGGGAAGAAGAAACACACATGTGGGATCTTTCTGTCTTATATGTCAAAATAACATGACTGTCTTTAGATACTAATACAGTACTCTGACTGATGTGGGCTGGGGAGAGGCATTTGGTACTCTCCTTCAGGCAGTGGAATGTTTTGGACCAGTGCTTCTGAAGCCCTAGCAGAGTGTTTATTCTTGGGATTATCAGCCAGAGTAACATGAAGGTCTAATTGGATGCATATTGTCCAGAAAAGGATCCAGATGCGATAATACCACACACACTGGCATAAAAAATACAGGGCTAGTCCAAACCATTTTGACTCCTGAGGCAAAGGACAAAATGAGTCGTCTTCTCATAACACGTACAGACAATGAACAGACTGGCAAATTTACTTTGGCGCCACACTGATGTCTGGCAACTGGAGCTGAGAACAGCAGACTAGCTTAGTAGTCAGAGGGAGGGTCATGTACTGTGCATAGCTCTTTAATCCAAACTCACGTATAGTTCTAGTTCTTGAGAATTTGCTGCCTGAGGTAGCAGCTTCATTTTGCCTCATGTTAGGACTGACCCTACATCTGTACAGCTATGGATCTCCAGATTCTTGTCACGCTGTCTTACACTTGGTGTCAGCATGACTTGGGCTCGGTTTTAGAATTGTGTAAAGTGACAGGCATGTAAAATTATGATGCCATTTTTGAGCAGTTAGTAAAAACAAAACAGTTTTGGGGATGGTTCATGAAAAGTGTCTGTGAGTGTTCAATGCCAGGACTGAGACTGGGAGTGTCAGTGTTACAGGAAGACAAACTAGCCCTGACTACTTAATTTTGTTAGTTAACAGTAATGGGAAGCCCATGGTGGGGCAGAGAAGCAGCTCACTCATAGCATTTCAGGAGAAGATGCCCCTTCTGCTCATACTATGGGCTGCCTCTGAAAAGAAGACACCTTCTACTAATTTGGAAAGTAATTAATTTCTATTCCTTTCCTTCTCTCCAGCATTTAAAATTACATTCAGATTTTTTTTTTAAAAAAAGGGTCAATTTTGGCTGTTTTTTGGAAAATGCAATCATTTGAATACAAAGAAATCTCAGCCAGTCAAACTGATGAAAACGGGCCCCAATTCACTAATTGTGTGGAAGAGTACAAAGATATATGCTAAGTCTGTGCCTTAGTTTTGGTTTTCATTATTGCAGGTTCAGCACAGATCTGACTTCTGTTTCTCTCTGGAAAGCACAAGGCAAAGCCTGCCAGAGAATAGTTAGTCATTGCCCACCTTCTGGAGGAAGATATATTTCCTTGCCCTCTATGATAATATAGGTCACCCTTTACCGGGAAATATGCAGTGGAACCACAGTCACTAAAGGAACTGTTACTCTGGCAAGAAGCTGGGAGGATGACTTCAGAGTATTGATCAAAAGACTTTTACAGTATAAATACAGTGATGTTATAATGATTATCTACCCATTATCCTTATCCTTGTGGTTAAGCAGCAGTGCCACAGCCAGTGCTCGGGACTTGCATTCAATCCTGACGGGCAGAGGTTGCTGGGTCAAGCTTGACTGAGCCTTCCATTCTTCTGAAGCTGGTAATTGAGTACAGTATCTCGCTTGCTATGCTAGGGGTGGGGGCAAAGTGCGGCCTGCATAATTAAACTGTGAACTGCCCTGAGAGTGTTTTAAGCACTATGGGGCACTGTATAAGCAGCACACTTTGCTTTTGCTTTATCCTAGTAATGATTATCCTGAGTACCTCACCAACCCTCTGACTATGACTCTAAAACAATTATTTTTCAAACCCAAGAAACCCTTGCTACATTATGTCAAAGTAGTTTTGATTTTCTGGAGGCAGAGGGGGAGGTACATACAAAAACATGAATGCAAAATTTCTGCTCCAGGTTATATTAGATGGCCTGATTTGGGGTCTTTCTTTCTACCTACCGATGCACAGTCTGTTTCTCTGAGTCCATGCAATTTGTGTATGGTTTGGCAACTGGAGAGAAGAAGCACTAAAATCCATTTGAAATTTTGGTCCAACAACAAGTTCATTCTCCAGAGACAATATGAATCAAACTGAGCAACACAAATAGCATATCATTAGATGAGGGAATTCCTTAAGTGTTGAAAGATGATGCCTGTTCATCACAACACAAGTTTTTCTCACTTCGCTCATTTTGCCAGTTTGTTTGCTTTGGCTTGTGATTGGCCTCTAGGAGGTAAACACAGAATTCATTTGCCTGCTTAATGAATTTAGAATGCCATTACTTAAGAAATCAATTTTGAAGAAGTAGCTGTCTTAGACTATGCAAGCACATCAGACCAAAAAAAAAAACCAATCAACAACATAAGACAAAAATGTAGTGACACTTTAAGACTAACTGCTATATTCTCATATGAACTTTTGTGGATCAAGTCCACTTCCTCAGATATAAGAGTGAAACTGTACAATGGTTATATTTATCCATGGCCCCATGAACAGGTGGGGAAACAAATAAGACAAAGTGACAATAATTTGTTAGTACAGTAATGGAATAAGCAGATTGTGAATAATTCCAGTTATCAGTCTAGGTAAAAATAGCATAGCTGACAAAATGGTGACTTGCAGGTGGTTCAAAGAGTATCTAGGTAGATGTAAGTGTTGAGATTTATGCCCATTAATTATTTTGCACAGAGATTGCCCTGTTTGTCTTATGTAGAGTGCAAAAGAACATTATCGGCAACAAATGGTGTTGATTGCATTGACAGAAGAACAAGTAAGCACAACACTGATGTTCATGGTGTTGTTAATGGGTTTGTAATGGTATTGCCAGAACAGATGTGGGGCCAGAGCTGGCATCTGGGATTGCAGGAGGGTTCCGTTTTAATTTCTGCATCTATACATACAACCATTGTCAAATACACAATACAGCAATACTGGCAACTCCTTTCCAACTTCCTATTTCAAGAGACAAGCTTTTCTTGCAATGCAGCTGTGGAACATGGAATCTAATGGGAAGCTGGGAGGTGTTTTTAGACATGTGGTTTGTATTTGCTTCCTTTCACAAGATGATTTCAGAAGTATCCTATTGATGAAACTCTGCCAAATAAAGCCAGATTAGCTCCATCTGTAGTGTGCTTTGCCACACAGAAGATACTTCATCTAAGTTGATTTGCTGCTGAAAATGGGTTTTAATCTGTTAACTACTGTTATTTATTTTCTTCACTGACATAGAGGCTGACTACATGGGTCATTTGGCCTGATGTTTGGAGCACTGCAAGGATGGGCTGATACACTCCTAAAGCTGGGGATTAGAGGATGTCTTTGCTAGAGTGCACCAGCCCTCCCCTGAGCGTTCTTAACTGCACCTTTCTGGACCCTATCAAGGGGCTTCTATTTCTCTGATGCAGGTAGGATCATGCTGATTTGGATCAGTTCCAGCTCACATGATTGCTGGAACTAATCTAAAGCAAGTCCTTCTCTTTCAATTTGCCAACATCATGAAGTGAGTTAATAAGCAATATTGGCAAATTAATTGCTTCCCCTGCTTGGCAGAGGGCAAGGGAAGTGAGGGATTTTTTTAAACTCTATATAGACTATCACTGATATGCTACATCAGTTATACATATATTTTTATTAAAATTCTCTGCTTCATCTTAAAGGACCAGTCAAGAAACCACCCACAGTACCTTTGACTGCATGCAGTTTCTTGATCGGCCCTTTAAGAGAGAGCAAAGAAAGGATTTTTTTAAAATAATAATAACGGAGGCAGCATTTGATACACAGTCTATATACAGTCAAAAATATTCTTTCATTTCCCTTGCCCTTTGCCAAGAGGGGGAATGATCAATTTGCCAGGATCATAAATTGGCTCTCTTATTAAGCCACTTCGTAATATTGGCAGAAACCATTTCTTATTAAGCCACTTCATAATATTGGCAGAAACCATTTTTGACAATTCCCAAGCAGCCCATACTTGTTTGCTCTCTGCTCCTAATGTAGTCATACCTATAATTTTATTTGATGTGTTGTTAATTAACATGTGTTATAATGTTTTAATTATAATTTTATTATTTACTTGTAGTAAACAGCTACAATGCATTGACTTAATGTATTATTTAATGTAAATGTAATAAATAATTTTACCAAATAAATGAATAAATATGGCAAAATATGAAAGAAAGATGCATAGCTCTTTTTAACAAAAACTCTATGGCCAAACTTTTGCACCATTTGCAATGTGTAGTAGTAGTAGTAGTAGTAGTAGTAGTAGTAGTAGTAGTAGTAGTAGTAGTAGTAGTAGTAGTAGTAGTAGTAAACTTATTGTTGCTGCTGCCGCCAGCACCATAACCATCATCCTATTGCCTAAACAACACATGGAAGGAAAATTAAGTAAATTTTATTCTGTTCTTGTCAGCTTTCCATTATGTAACCAATTAAGTAACCAATTTCACAGTATGAGCAAGAACATATTGTAGAGTTTAGAATTTCTGGTAAATTCCCTTTTGCTACACAGTTGAAGTATGGTAATCCAGAGGAGAATAGTACAAGTTTTCCAGTAGCTGGCACCTAAAGTCTCAATAACTTATTCCGAGACATTTGTGGGAGAAATAATAAAACATTTCTTTACTTATAGCTGCTTGAAATTACAAACTTGTGTATGCTGCTTTCTTTCTGCACACATACTTACTAACCAATTGAACTGATCAACAGCAAACAAACAACTGCCACCAACAGAGGAAAGTACACACAACAGAAAGGTGGGTTTCTCTTTGAATTAAAAGGGTGGAAGTAATGACCAGTTCCCGCCAACCTAGTGGTTCAAAAGCATGTAAAATACGAGTAGATAAATAGGAACCACCTCGGTGGGAAGGTAACAGCGTTCCGTGTCTAGTCGCACTGGCCATGTGACCACGGAAGATTGTCTTCGGACAAAAATCTGGCTCTATGGCTTGGAAACGGGGATGAGCACCGCCCCCTAGAGCCGAACACGACTGGACAAAAATTGTCAAGGGGAACCTTTACCTTTACCTTAATGACCGGTTAGTGCTGTATAGAAACAGTCACCCCAGCTCAGAAAAGTCCCTCTCTGTCACACAAACTACAGACAACATGTGAGGCTGCAAACAAAACTCCAGTAGGCTGAACATGTATGTATAAACAATTTGTTCTATGGGTCTACTCTAGTTGGACTGGCTTGATAGTTAATTAGGGAAAGGCTTTGGAGCCATAGGTCAAAACTTTGATTCCTCACTGTGCCTCCAAAGAGAAGAGCCAGCCTGTATAGCTTTGGGCAAGGAAATGTTAATGTTAATTAATTAAATGGGTCTGCTCTAAATGGAGTGACCAATTGATTCAGACTCTTGTGTCCTCTCTTGTACTTACACTAGTACCTCAAACTGAGGAAGATAAAAATAGATTCATAATGAAAGTAATAAAAATCATGAAATCATTACCATTATATGCCTATTAAAATTATATTATTGTACAGTATTATAAATAATGGTCACCAGTCCCTTCATGTCTCGGTTCTACAGAGAATATAGCTTGACTGCCCATCATTTGCAAGGATAAAAGGACACAAATTAAGAAGATGTCATCCTTATTTGAGAGTGGGTGCTGGATCCATGGGGTGGGTGAGGGAGCTTTAATATAACCTAAGTCCTCAGGGAAAACTGATATCAGGCACTGAATCAGTTTCAAAAGCAGTCTATGAGCAGTTCAGTCTTCTGGCAAATATGACCTGTTTCGGGATCTCCCACTGCAACCTTCAACAGATTACCTACCACTATTTACCCTTTTTAATTTGTTTGAAAAATGCTTCCTAGTCTCCAACTTAAAGCCATCACAGAGTGACTGAACTCAGTTCTCTGTATCCAGGAATGGGGAATCCATGGTCTTCCAGGTACATATGCATTACATCTCCCATCATTCCTAACCATTGCCCACATTGGCCAAGCCTGGATTCCAAGAACACCTGGAGAACACATGTGGAAACCCCCCTTCTCATGCTGTACACTGAGAACTGAAAAAGCTCTGTGTTTGCAAGCAGGACAGTGAAACCTAGGAGTTGCTAAGGGTGGGATATGAAAAACTGAGGTCTTTCCGATTCCCAATTCAGCAGGGATTTTCTGTGTAATACAACAGCCAGCAGGTGTCAGTCTCAAAAAAGCTAATGTCTACGAAGACTTTTTTTTGAAAACTGTCAACTTTCCCCTCGTTGGGGTCAAAGCAGATGACAAATTACTGTGCCTTTGCATGTAAGAGGCAGATGGGGTGTGTTTTAGCACAAATTGCCTTTGGTGGTTTCCAGTTCATAGGATCAGAGCAGACAGGAAATGTAACCCTTTCCTCCTCTGTTGCAATTATGAATTTAAAAACCCTCCTGTTAAATTGTTAATTTATTAGAACTGAGAGGGACCCTCCACTGGTACCAGCAGGAATGTCTCGTCAAAAGGAGAGAGAAAAGTTGGAGGTGGTTTTTAAAAATAAACGTCCGTATTTCCTTTTGTGTATTTCCCTCTTTGAAATGAATGTAAGTGTGATAATACGAGAAATGTATATCAAGGTAATATCTGCAAAAAGATGTAACTTAGGAATGTTTTGAGAGCTTGATCTTTGTAAATTCCAATGCAAATTGATCTCCCAGACTAAATGGCAGGTCACAACGTAAACATCCTTCAGATGTTGTCAATATGCTGAATATTGTAGTGCAGCTTTTTCCCCTCAAGATAACATGTTTTTTAAAATGTGTATTTCAGAATAAAATTTGTTTATAATTGTATACCCTATGAAAAAATACACTCAAAACATGTTTACTTATATAATTTTATGTGGATTTTAAAAATCATACATTAATGCAGAAACAAGATACTGTAGAACAAATGAATAGAAACATGAAGAATTTATATAAGCCAGAAATAGACATACAGTCCTGTTTACCACACAGCAGCTTCAAAATAGCTATGTGAAAATACTGGGTGTTTTTTTCTCTCTCTTCCCAGTACTTTCTTCACCCTAAAAGTGAACTGCTGGCCTGTGAATGCTGACACTTAAAAAACGTACATCAGTTCTTAGGCCTGTTATATGTTGGGGACTGAAGGTGGGCATTAGCGTCCTTTTGATTCTTCCACAGCATGTGGTGCTGAATGTCACAAACCTGGTAAATGCTAACATTCACTAGTAGTCCTTTTGATTTGAGGAAGCCACTCTTACATTTGCCAGTAAATCTCAAGGCCAACTATGCATAACTCATCAATTTCATCTTCATTTATATGATCAGATCTGGTGTTGTGCTTGTGACAGTGATGCCTCACCAGAGTGAGTACATGCTTCAGGGAGGAGGAGAAAGGGGGGCGCGAGAGAGAGAGATTCCAAACAGAGTTTCTTGTGGTTCTGTGATCTAGTAGGTCAAGAGAGAGCAACCTTTTCCTATGCCCCAATTTTAAAAGTTTTTTGTAAGGATTTAGTTTATTCTTGTGCCAAGAATGGTCTGTTCCTTCTTTGGCAACCTGGTAGGCAGAGAGGAGGAGGGAAACATTTGGGAATATCAGAAGTGGTGTGTGTGAGAGAAAAGATAGCTTCATCCACAGCAGACTAGGGCTCTCTGCCTCCCACCACCTCAAATTGCCAGCATGTAGCACTTTCTAGGGTTGCCAGGTATCCGAGTGCCATGGAAGTGACAAGGAATTACTGTATTTCCTTGAGACTCAAGACAGAAAACACAGACCTCAGGATAAGAGGCTCTGGAGAATGGGAAGTCTTAATTTTAATTTCTGAGGTGTCTTTAAACCTTGAACATCTATTCCCACCCATTCCTAGCTGCCACCAGAACTCAGCATGTGTGTGTTGCTATGTGTGTTGTACTTGCTTCCCTTCCATCTGTGACATCACAAGGATTCACCCATTGTTCTCATTGTTTTTCACACTGAAATCTCAGGGGACGGGGTGCTCTTGACCTGGCAGCCCTAGTCCTTACAGGTTATCCCTGAAAGTAAATTGCTTGAGACAGAAAAAAATGTATCCTGCTTTGGAATAAATAAATTATGGCAAGTTGGAGGGGCAAAATTGTGCACAGGGGAATTTACCACCAAAACATTGGTTGCAAGTCTCAAATTTATTGATTTTTTTAAAAAAATGACAATTGGCAAATGTCCCAAACCAGTCTTGTCCCAAAGTCTGCCTATATTAAAAATCCAAGGAGCTTGTTAGTGTTGAACCTTTCAAAAAGCCTGAATATGTGTGTCATAATTCTATGGTATTATGCATACAACTACATTTGAATAAAGTCTAATTTATTGCTTCTTTCACAGCTGAGAAGTGGTTTGTGGCAGTACTGCAATGGTACACTGGACAAGTTCAATCTGCCAGTAACACTGTATAAGAATAGATGGCACACTTCATAACAGTGAGATGATGGGTTGTTTTAAGCATTGCTGGTAATGTAATGGGAGAAACAGAGCTAGATTGACAACAATCATATTAATGGCCAATGTGGTGCCTGTGATGCTCATCGACTAAACTCTACACCAGCAATTCCTAAAGAAGAACGACTTTGATGATATGAAAGGAGAAGCATATTTCCCCAAGAAGAAAACGAAATGCATCCAGTACTGGGGAAACATGATAGCCTCACATAAGAATGATGGCTTGAAAGTAACTGGATTCTTACTAACAATGGAAAACAGCAGTATATTTATTGCATTTCCAGGCCTGGAAACAATTACCTGGCCTGGAAAGCTAATACTTGAAGTTGGCTCCCCTTCAAAACTCTCACATTATTATGCATACAGCTACCTCTGGATAAAGTTTAATTAGTTGCTTCATCCGAAGCTGAGAAGTACTTCGTGGTATGCATGCAGCAGTGTCACTGAATGTTCTTCATGAGATGCTATCAGTCCTATGAAAGAAGAAGGATTTACCTTTCCACATGAAACTGCATTTAAAAAAAATTATGGTAACTTCTGAAACTGTTGCTGTAATCAGGTGTGTTAGCTTCTCCATGTATTGAGAAGCTACCACACCTGAATACAGCAACAGGTGTGGTAGCTTCTCAATACTATTGTATATGATGCTTCTATTGTATTGATGTTGCTACTATGATGCTTCTTTGGCTGTAGACACTGTTCCATATGTGACTTGATTATGAATCTACCTGAGCAAGGGTGATACACTTCCATGAAGGGCATTATGCTGTTGCAGATATAAACCAGCCCTGAGTATTGTATATAGATGATTGAAGTTGCAATATAATAGGGCACCGGAAGCCCACTTTTACCAGGTGAGAAAATTTGTCCATCTCACTTGGCGGTGTCTATTCCATATCCCTACTTGATCAATATGGCTCTGCAGGGTCACCTACTACCAGATCCTTAATTTAACTAGAAAAAGCCTGGGATGGAATCTGGCACCTTCCACTTGTAAAGCATGTCCTCTGTTACTAAACCAGGATTCCTCCCTCCATGTTCTTTTGGTGATGCTATCACTCCCTAGCAGTCCATTTGATGCCATTTTACTTTCCTGTGTTTTATTCATCTCATAGAAAGGGGAAAATATGGGTGCACTTTCAGGCAAAACCCATTGCCAGTAGAACTTTTCTGGATTGTGATTTCTAGAAATCCCCAGCCACTGTTCATGCCAGGTCTGGGCTATGGGAGTTGCAGTCTTAAAAAGTAACTTTTCAGGGTTCTACTTTTAAGATTATGTCATAATGCTTAAAAATAGCAACACCATTCACTGTGCACAACCTTTAGCCTTCCTTTGCCTTAAAGCTTAGAGCTACACTAAACGATGAGGACTTTCTGCTAGAATCACTGCTGGAAAGAAAAAACGTTATTTGCCTCCTCTTTGCAAATTATATTCCCTAAAACCCTGCCTCCCATTCTTACTATTAAGCTTAATCCACACAAGTTAAGGAAATGCTAAATTCTTGGGTACCTTTTGATCCCCACAGGGATTCCATTTGATGTTCAAGTAGTGGTAGGGTAGGATTAACATTACACTCACTCCTCTTACGTACTTGTTGAACTCAACTAAAAACTCCAGTGGCTCTCCCTTTTCCCAAAAAGAAGACAGTCTAATGATAAGCAGGATACATCACTTCTGTTTCGCAGCATCATGGTTCACTAGGAAAAAATTAAAAGGGCCATTCCATGGCCTGAGACATACTTTTCAGTGTGGTGACAATATAATAAAATGCTCTATTACTGTATATTGGTCTGGGTCTCTGTGGATTTTGCAACTAAATAAAGTTTGGGAGGGCTAACTGTCCTGTTCAAGTGAATGAAAATTAAATGGAAAGGAAGCTTTAGCATAGTTTCTAATCACCTATTCACCCATCCCGTCTAGTTTTACCCTCATTTGTGAGAACATGCTGGCTAAGGTACTTGGGTTTCCATGCTCTCAGAAAGTACCTTTTCCACCTCTGATAATGAGCTTTAAGAAAGAATGCAGCTCTTCCTCTTCCTTTTTCTTGCAGTTGATAACTGCTTCAATCCCAGGGAAGAAGTTTCCAGAGGAATGTTCTGAAGAACTTCATGTAAGGTAAACATGCTGAAGGAGATTTGTTCATAAGGCGAACGCACTCCATTCTCATACAAGCAGGCAAAGGCTATGGCTGGGATCCCTGTTATTGAGAACTCTGAGTAAGGCAGTTCAATGTAGGTCAGGTCCGAATAGGCACTGGGCCCTTCATAAATAATCCAGGGCTCACTCCAGCTGTCAGCCTCCCTGGGAAATGTGCTGAGGTAAACCCCCAGGTTGACTCGGGATCTGGAACTTGTTGGATGGGAATACAGCACCCATGTTGGGATCTGGAAATAAATGTCTGATTTGGGTGGACTACTGGCTTTATTACAGTATTGATTGTTGTGTGTTGTAGTTGAGGGAGTGGGAGCATGAACATTGCTGTGCTGGCCCCCAGAAAATCTAGATGAGGCAATCTTCTCCTGCTGTTCTTGATGACACAGAGATGAATGGCAGAGAGACGTGGTGAATGAAGTAGGACAAGGAGGGTGTCTTTCTTCCATTCCCTGCTGTGATAGGAAGTCTGTTCCTTTAATTGGCCATTTTGCTCTCCAGAACCTGTCAACGCTGTGATTCATATAGTAAAGTGGAGCTGGGAACCCAATGACACTGCCATGGCAACCGTGAGGGGTCTCTACAAGCCGCTGCACCAGCTCCCCTGAATGAAATACTGCTCCATCATCTGTGCTGAGCGCTTGCACCCGGAAGCCCAGGGGGCTTCTGGCGTTGCAGTAGAGTACATTGCTTCCATCCTCTTCATCTACTGACACCAGCTGGCACTCCACGGTCTGCAGGTTTGGGATGAATTCACCATAGTGCCAGTTCTGTCCATGGTCATCACTGTAAAAGGTAAACGCGTGGGGTGTGGTTTTGCAGAGCTTCCCAAAGCACTCTTTGCAGTCAATGTGGTAAGCGTAGGCAGGTAAGAGGAGGCGGCCTGACTTGAGCTGAATGCCATGCCCAGGGCCTAGGGCAAAAGTGGCCCAGTCTGTATTGAAAAGGGGAAAAAAGCTGTGTCAGGATCAACACAAAAAGAGATGCTGAACTACAGTTGTCAGGACCCCCAAGTTTTGGTCTCAGGATTGTAGAATTTGTAGTACACAACAACAACTTTCTCAAACTGTTGGGAGGGGGGAAAGTGCAACCTTCCAGATGTAGGACCAGGGTGACAAGCATTCCTCATTATTGGTTGCATTGGCCATGTCTGATGGGAGGTGAAATATAACAATATCTGGGGAGATTCACACTTTACTCACCCCTCTTATAAGATTAACAGATACAGCATAGCAAAAACTTTTATGGACTAGAATCTGCTTCATTACATGCATTAAATATTGTCCTTTGTTGATAGGTATGTTCCACATATAACCGCAGAGCAAGAATACTGTAAAGATTAGGGTCAAATATGAGTGGAATGGAAAAAAATACCACTGCTGACAATTCAATTAAACATTTGGAAAATGTGCATGGTGTTGCTGTCATAGTCATCTTAGCCTGGCTATGTAAACAGCACAAAAAACTATTGTCTTGAATTGATTCAGGACCAAATGGATGATTAGACCTCTAGATAAGCGCTAGCAAGCATGCAAATAATAATAATAATCTTAGACCTGCAGAGCTAAAAGGGACCTTTTGGATCATCAAGCCCTGTCAAGGAGGCACAGTGGGGAATCAAACACCCAACTTCCTGAATAAATAAATAAATAAAAATAAATTCATTACATGCATGAAACATTGTCCTTTGTTGATATGTATGTTCCACAATTCAATTAAACATTTGGAAAATGTGCATGGTGTTGCTGTCATAGTCATCTTAGCCTGGCTATGTAAACAGCACAAAAAACTATTGTCTTGAATTGATTCAGGACCAAATGGATGATTAGACCTCTAGATAAGCGCTAGCAAGCATGCAAATAATAATAATAATCTTAGACCTGCAGAGCTAAAAGGGACCTTTTGGATCATCAAGCCCTGTCAAGGAGGCACAGTGGGGAATCAAACACCCAACTTCCTAAGTCATTGAATTCTCCAGCAATTGTGTGTGTGTATGTGTGTGTGTAGAGAGAGAGAGAGAATTAGAACACACACAGACACACACATAGACACATGTAGGTTAGATTTTAAGATATGGCTGAAAGATACTGTCATTTTTGCTGTAGCAGCCCCCATGTTTTGAAATCTGCGTTGGGAACAGATGTCTCCCAATCTATCCCTATCAGCACTGCAGCTCCCCCTCCCCGTGCTATTATCCTACATTAGCTATTATATTATTTCTGTACCTTCAATGGCCACACCAATAACTTGCTGGGTGAGGTCAGTCACATGGCTCCAGCTGTTGCCCTGGTCAGAACTAGACACGTAGCAAAGACGGGCAGCATTTTGGCCTGTGAGGATCTGAAAGGCTTCAGGAGTTCTTCCCAGCACAGCAATGAAAAAGAGGAAAACCATGCCTGTAAGCTCGTCATAGATGGGACAAGGGTTCATAGACCGGTGATGTGCCAGAGTTGCTGTTTCAAGGGCTCGCATATCTTCCCACTGGCAAAGAAAATATCAGAAGTTAAGTGCCTCAACTGCATTCTCCCTTTCTTCCTCAGTTTACGTAGAACTTGCCTACATAATTTATTTTGAATTAGGACCTGTTAACTCATAAGCCTTATTCAGCCATTAGGCAACCCAGCATTGTGAACACACTTAAAGGAGATTGCCCAGCCCTGTCCCCTCTATTTTTGTGTTCCCCATAGTTTAAGAAGAGAGATTCCTGCTCTCCTCTATTTTTGTGTTCCCCATAGTTTAAGGAGATTCCCACTCATGTATAGGCCTTACACACAAGTAAGAACCCTGGAAAATCTGGGTTCTTGCTTGTGCGTAGAGCCAACAGGACTGTTCTTCAGACTGGGTGTTAAAGGTGAGAAAAACATGTTAATGGAAGGAGAAGGGGCTAGGTGTTCACCTCTAAGTACAGTCACAATCCTGAGTAGTATAAAAGCTGAACAGAGCTATAGTCTAGTTGATGCAATCAAGAAATTTAATTCAGCATCAAAGTAAGTTGAAAATTAGGGGGAAAACTCATAGGTAACTCATTCTCCCTCATAATTTAAAAGATACCCGTTTTTCTTAGGACAAACTTGCCTCACTCTGTATATTGCAAATTAACTTCCTTTTGTTTTGTGATTGGTCACTAAAAGGTCAACAGGAACATTGGCTTTGCATGTTTGATTGCACAGGCACAGAGCTTTGAAGGAATTACGTGTCTGGAGAGAAAATATCATAGCAGAAAATATATATTTCCCATAATTTGTGATTTGACTTTTAATAATATTATTAGTGTGAGTGCTGCATTTTTAAGTGATGAGAAGTCTCAAGGACCTCCCAGGATTCAGTTTTCTGAGAGGCAGGTCACTGGAGATCTATGCCACTTCTATTATGGTAGGGTTATTCAGATGTATCTAGCTTTACCATTAATTTATGCAGATCACTGTTCTCTCAGACTCAGTCTGTCTCCAGGTGTAATATAAAGATATTTATTTATTTATTAGATTTTTATCCCACCCATCTACTCTGGGCCATTTACAAATTTAAAAACGATAAGACTAAAAACCCAAAAGTCCAAGATGGTGAAGTTTAAATAGTGTAATTAAGATATGGCAGGAGGGATAATACTACTCACCCACTTTTTATGGTTGTTGCTGGCAAGATTACTGGATGGATGTATAATGAATACAGTACTTTGAATACCCTGAATTACCCTTCTCAGACCTGACATGGGCTGTTATAATTCAGCTCATGTGTTTAAAGGCAAATTGGGATGGCTCAGGAAGACACGAGTCGTGACTTATTTCTTCTCATTCTTTTCTGTGAACTTCTATGAGAGATATGACATCAATCTACAGTGGTAAGGCAAGCAGACTGTAGGTCAGGCAAGTGGGAGCAGGTTGAAACAATACTTGGGTCTGCTAACTAGGAGGGTTACTCTGCATAATTCCATCTGTTCCGGACCATTTCTCACAATTACAGATGAATGCTATACAAATATTGTACAAGGTATCAGGAGACTCCAGTTATATTGTCTCCAAAAACAAAAGAATTGTCAAAGAAGGTGTGGCACAGATAATTTCTTCTTGTCCTCAACCTTCAGCCCTACTTAGATATTTCAATACTGTCTTACCTCCACAAAGTTCTTGTAGAAGGTGCCTCTTCTCAGCACTAGGAGGTTAGCATGAGCATCATCAATGCTCAGCCGCTCCTCTGCAAAAGCCAACAGCTTGGATACACAAGGGATATGGAGTAGCGCTGGCACCCGATAAGTGACTCCACTTGTCTCCCTTTCGAACAGGACAGTCCGGGCTGGGAAATGGCGAGAGCCCATTGCAACTTCAGCAGGAGAAAAGGCCTAAAATTTTAAACAGAGAGATAGGGTTTGGGTTGTGTCTATGCCTATACTGCAAACTGAAAACTTAGGGATGTCCCTTGAGTTAAAATGAGTTGCCAAGAAAGAGCTTCTGCCATTATAAATCTCACATTCTATTGCTTATCAAAATGAGCAATTATTTGTGAGCTATTAATAGACATTTTGTATCCATTATGCACTTGACAAAGACTACCATTGAGTTTATCAGAACTCATCTGATAAATACTGCCAGAGCTATATTAATAAAAATGAAAATGAAAACGAAAACGAAAAAGGAAATAAGAATAAGAATAAGAATAATATGCTATCAAACCAATTCCAACTTGTGGCAACTCTTTCTAGTCCATTCTTCTGTGGGTGCTCTGGGACCATGACCACACAGGCTATATGTGTTGCTCTGTTATTTGCTGTCAAGTCACATCTGGACCATTTCTGATTATTACAGATGCATGCTATCAAGTCACATCTGCCTCAATAGTGATTCTAATAGGACTTTCAAGGTATGTGAGATATTTAAGGAGTGGTTTTATCAAGGCCACTCCCCAGTTAGTTTCCTGGCCAAGTAGGGACTGAACCCATCCTAATATGTCACATTGCCCACTAAACCACACCAGCAGCTCACACAGGTTATAGCAAGATAAAGTGCCTGGAACTTGACATGCTGACCCCTTTATCTCAATACTATGTATATATCTGTCTCATTTTGGTGAAACCTACTGATGTAGTTTATTGTTGAACAGCAGTTCCTTTGATTGGTTTGGTGACATTCCAAGCAGCAATTCAAATGTTTTTAGATTGTTGCTGCTGCTATGTGCCATCAAATCACATCTGACGGACGGCAACCCTATGAATGACTGATCTCTAAAATGTTCTGTGCTCAGCTCTTGCAGACTCAAGCCTATGGCTTCCTTTAGAGAGTCAGCCCATCTCATTTTTGGCCTTCCTCTTTTTCTGCTGGCTTCCACATTTCCCAACATTATTATCTTTTACAAAGAATCATGTCATCTCATGATGTACCCAAAGTAGGATGACCTCAGGTTCAACATTTTTTGCATCCAGAGACAGTTCAGGCTTGATTTTATCTATGACTATTTAACATAACCTATACCATGCGATCTAAGGACAGAATCTAATGAGAAGGATGCTTTGCATATAGGATATGACAAAACTGTTATTCCTGTAGAGATGATAACTGCCAGGTTTGCACAAACAGCATACATACAGAGCCTACTATTGTCTCTCAATAAGCAATCACTAAACAGAAACAACTTACGCTGAAGGATCATCACATGTCCTCTATTGCTGAAAGCAGCTCCACCTCTAATTGCAAAGCTGTCATATGCTTCTTTATCTAAAGTAGGGCTATGGGAAGGGTACACTGGAATAGTCCCAAACACTTGCATCCCTTTCAATATGTGAGCATTTTAAAAAGACAACAGGAACCTGCCAATATGTCGGAAAAGGAAAAGAACCTAAAGCAGATGATGTGCTTTCACACAACCATGTTAATAAAACACAAACGTATGATGAGGGAATGGGAAAGAAGAGAAGCTGCGTTTCTCTCAGAAGAGAACTACAGCAGCACATTCCAATCACAGTGCTTGTGGGGAGCAGGTAGAAAGAATGAAGGGGGGGGCTAGCTTTCTCGGGAGTCTGAGGGGCAAAAGATTTTGCTATTGGGTGTTTAAGTTGTCTGCCTCAGTGTCTGCTTGCCCTATATATTTGCAAATCAACACAAGTAGTATAGAATATTGTAGACTTGCATGGGAGAACTGAATGACAGACACAAGTAGGAAGGAAAAAAGCATTAAAGAGTGAGAAAATGAGAGAGAGAGAGAGAGAGAGTCTGTAGAAGTAAAGAAAACATGAAACCACAAACCTAATCTCCTTTTCCTGCTGGAACACAAGCTTTCATCCTCAAAGCCTCATCTGTCTTCATCTGAACCTGCACACAAACGGCACTCCACTGACCGATACAATTTCAGTAGCTTCCTTCTCCTCTTCTGTGATGTCCTATTTCATTTGTCACATTTCAGTTCTTAAGATGCCCCATGACTTCCCTCTCTTCTGACCCAGTGGACTTGCTAGATATTCCATGATCAGGGGGAAACACTGAGCCAGCAGCCAGTAACTCAGTCAGCAAAGAGAGGACAAAGACTTCATTGTTAGAGCACAGTGAGGACATCGTCAGCAATGCCCATATGCAGGTAGCCATGGCCATTCCTTTCCTTTTCATTCCTTCATTCTCTGGGAGACTTTGCATGAAACTCTTATGGGGTACACTTTTAGGGTGGATGAGGATATTGTTCAGTCCTTTTTTCTGTCAATGAGAGCTTTCTCAAATTTTCAAAATTCCTCATACTGTAGATGTGGGAAATGGATCTAGGAAAAAAGTGAACTGATTATTTCATTTATCCAAGAAGAAGGCTTTGAATGTTTAGCTCTTAAAAATAAATGTTTAAGAATCCCTCCTCTGTGTTCAAAGGCGACATTGCAGACAACTAGAATTTAACAGTCAACCTTCCCCTGCCTCCCCTCCCTGAACTTATCTTTGTACCATCTGGCCCAATGAAGAGATACAAACCTTGAAATCTTGCATGCTTTTATGTGCCTCTTTTGTTTGGCTTAGTAAAAGTATCAAATTAGTATAGACTTTGGAATTAGTTTCCTGCCAGAATCATCATCCTCACCACCACCATCATTGTCATGTGTGATCAAGCCAATTCTAACTTATGCTGACCCTTTCCAGGGTTTTCTTAGAAGTGGTTTGTCATTTCCATTACGTAGGGTGCTTTGGGACTGTGCAGCTTGCCCAAACCTACACAAGCTGACTCTTCTTCAACAACAACAACAACAACAACAACAACAACAAAACAGTGGGAAATCAAACCCCTGACCCAAGTGCACCTCGCTAAGCTGCCAGCCAGCGAGCCAGAGTACACTATAATAGAAGTTTATTTAATGATAATAAGAATGTGCTGTCAAGTCAATTCTAACTTATGGTGACTTTTTCCAGGGTTTTTTAGGCAGAGAACATACAGAAGTGGTTTATCATTCCCTTCTTATGGGAACATCCTGGGACTGTGCAGCTTGCCCAAGGCCACACAGGCTAACTCTACTTGCAGGAGGCACAGTGGGGAATTGAACTCCCAACCTCTGGCTCCACAGCCAGATACCTACATTTCTAACCCAGTATACCTAATTTTAAGGTGGTTAGCTGCATCATATGTCTTCAACATTTGATTTAATGCAACACATTTAAACAGAGCACTTCTTTATGTCCCCCAGAGTAATGATGGACATACGGTTAGGACAATGACAGCCCTGCCTGCTAAGTTTAATTCAAACTGTGCCCACAAAGAAGAGGAAGAGTCTACATCCAGAGGATCATATTTCCAGTTGTGGTCCAGCTGAGGGGGAGCTTGCATCTCACCATGTTTCCTTGATGTTTATTTTGACTCAGACTATTTACATTTATTTTGTGTCTGTTGCAGCTCTAAGAAGAAGACAATCCCATTTTACAGAAGACAGTCCTCTGTTTGAATGTATGTCAGAAGAGTAATCTGTTTCAAGGTCTATCCATGTTCAGCTTAAAAATAAAGAATCATAAGAACAAAAAGCAGGGGCCTTGGGGTTTTTCAGCAACCATTAGTGCCTAAACTGTAATCTGAACCAGCCAGCTGGCCACAATCTCCCCACAATGGTGAAGTCTGGTATTCCTGTGTAAAGTGAATGATTGAACCCTTGTTGCTTTGTAATGCATATGGAAGACAAATGGCAGAACATTCAGTCACTGGTAATTAAAGAGTTGCCACAGGGATTCTCAGAGAGGGTGCATGTGCCTGCTGGCTTAAAATGCACTCAGGAAACCCAGTGTGGACTTATTAATTGCTAGCTAGAAGCAATTGAATATTACTCCATTTGCCTTCTGCAATAGTAACAAAGCAACAGGATTTTAGCCAATGTTTTGATATGTTTGCCTATGAACATAAACTACCACCTGCAGTTTTTATGTACATCTGTGTCCTCTTTTGTCCTGTTTTTTGGTGATGCATTTGAGGATATTTTAAATAGTCATCCTGTTTAACAACTAGTATCAAAATCTTAAACCCCAGACTGGGATGAAGAAACTGTCAACCAGTGCCACATTTCCAGTTGCCATTCTGGCTGGAGAGATGCTATGTGGGATGAAGTAGGATACCAAATGAGAACACGTAGAGATGTTTGTAGAAGCATTCAGTAAGAGGGTATAAGAAAAGACAGTGTTTTATTTAAACTACCTGAAGAGCAGAAAAGTCTAATTAAGTCCTTTTCAGGATCAGATTTCTGGCAACACATTTGCCAAACTCAAGGCCAAGGTGGGGAAGAGGGGGCAATATGATATCTTCTACCTCATGGCACAACCTTTGCACTACTGATTATGACAAGAATGAGCTCCCTTTCCACAGCGAGAAATGCTCACTGTGACTGTTTTCCAGTCAGGTTTAATAACCAGTGGAGCAAAAAAAACCCATTTCGGCTGAGGGGCCTAGCGCCGAGGGAGGTCCAGAAGGAAATAACAAGGAGTAGGGCCTTCTCGGCAGTGGCCCCTCACTTTTGGAATAACTTGCCAGTGGAGATGCCTGGCTCCCTCTCGGGGTGTTTTCAGGAATAAACTTAAAACCTGGCTATTTGGGCAGGCTTTCCCTCTTGCCATATCTTAACTGCCATATCTTAATTACTTATACTTCACCATCTTGGACTTATATGTTTGTGGTTTTATTGTTTTTAAATTTGTAAACTGCCCAGAGTACACCCTTAGTCTAGATGGGTGGGATAGAAATCTAATAAATAAATAAATTTCCACACCATTAATTTCATTCCTGATTACCTACCTTAGTCACCTTAATCTGCATTCAGATGAAAGGGTAACCTGATGGACAACGTGCTGGCATTTATTGTGGAAGACCATTGTCTTGTTA